TTAAAACATTTTCTATTGATTTTTGTAAAAATTACAGTAGAACCTTTGTCCCCTTAGCAGAAGAGCCAAACAATTTTGAAAACCCGACTTGGCAAAGCCCTTGAACAAAATGAATGGTGTACAGGCATCCTTTTCAACTGTGCGAGAATCGGTTCAGATTTCCAAATTCTATCATCCCCTCTTTTATACAAATGGTTTAATCCATGTGCGTTACTTAGATGTGTTCCGTTTGGAATGTTCCATTTTCATTAACAGGGAGCGCAAGGAGGACATGGATATCGAGGAGATTATGCTCAAGAAGGGTCTTCTGACAGCGAGAAGTGACGTGCCAATACACGTCTGAGGTTATCTCATCAGGGCTCCCTATACTATGCCATTACAGAAGTTTGTAAAAGATTGTGCTGAAGTTTTTCTTTCGGATTATGAAGCCTTACTGCAAGTGTAATAATGCATAGCATTTAAAAGCTTCTTTTATTGCACAAATTTTCAAAGAAGATTAAGACTTGCTAAATCCTGCCCCTGTCCTATTTGCCACGCATGTTGGCAATTCTAGCATTAGGAAGTGTAATGTCCATGACAGAGCCAAAGAAGCATGTTACCTAATTAATGGTTCAGAGAAATGATCCAAAACTCCTATTCTGAAATACTAGATGATGGATATGTAAGATTTGAAAAATATATTTTCAGGTTTATTCACTGAGCTCTTAAAGCTCTGACATGGACGGTACGTAATGCTGGAATTGGCCATGTATTTTATGTGGGTTTGTTTTGGCATACACGACAGCAGGGTCTAATACCGTGGAGCTGATGAGCAGAGAATGACAATATTGCTTAGCATTAGCAAAGTTTAATGTCTTAAGAGAAAATGAGACGAGATCCAGTCATGAGCCCCGACTGTTTTACTCTAATCTGTGTTGGCTAAGGGAATTTGTTAAATCTTGTCTTAGATACTGTAGTTGCATCATGTTCGTTGGTCTAGAAGGGCCTCTTGTCCAGTCTGTAAAAATGACTGTTTACTTCATATACACTGCATTGCATGTTAATTACCTCATATACACCGCGTTGCATATAAGTTATGTCATAATTTTATACATCGCCCTGCATATAATTAATGCGCGCACTTGAAGGGTGCATGTGAAGGCCTGCTACCTTCACAACAGAGAAATGCAACCTCAATCTCATGTATGGCAGGAAAGCTCACAGTGTTAAAGTTCACACTGCAGTGATTTTATTATTTCTTGAAAAGTGAGTTAAAAAGGTTTATCTTTTTGGCCAATCGGCACGATAAAACCAAGCAATCATTGATACCATAACCCTCTTCACAGTAGTCAACAATTGTGAAATATACTTTCTGTTGTGAGTGATATGTCTGTGCTTAGTAGCCCCACCACATTGTCCCTAGATCCGGGACGAGTTGTTCCTACTGGTAACATGTATTTATTCAGCCATAAGGCATAAGGAATATTCAAAGTCCGTGGACTTCCACATTCCCCATTATCCTGTCCTTTTTTGCCCACTGAAACTGGGAAGTCGGTTGAAAACTCCAGTTTTACATTTTGTTTGTAAATGTTTTGAATATTGAAGAAAACAAAACCAGGGAAACAAGCTGCCTGTAGTTTTTTAGCAGCAACATTTTTTTTTATACATACTGTATTTATGTCTAAAATTATGTTGTACAGAAGCCAGCAGCAATGCAAATGAACCTTTTGCTATAGAGAATTTGGGATCATATGAGGCAATTATTTAAATTATAAATTTACATAAATTTGCATGAACGATGCAACCAAATTTATGTTATATGTGTTAATGTGATGTTATATTGGTTACATGTGTGTGTGTACAGGTATGTGTAAGAAAAATTCAGTTGAATGTTAATCTAGATTTTTCACATGTTTTTATTTTCTTCAAACAGGCGCTTTGTTCCAATTGTCTCAAACCCTACTTCAAATTATAACTTTAACATTTCTCATTATTTAGTTTGATGTCCAAAATTAAACCTTTTGGGGAAAATATGCAGAACAACCGAGGCTGTCTATTTGACCAAAATAATTGTGTGTATCTTTGTTTCTTTGTTCAAATATTCAAAATTATATTTTTCGTAAATTACTCAGACTGGTTAGAATTAATTTGAAGTTAAAACAGCTTTATCATTTTAATCGCATTAAAAGTTTCTTGCAAGTTAATACTTAAATTTTTTTTTTTTATCACACTGTGACAGTGCTAACAAGTGTGATTTGAAAGTGTTCTTTGACAATCTGGCACGTTAACTTTAAAGCTCTCACATTACCATATGCTTAATTGATTTTACATTGGACAGAATGTTTTGTAAAAGTTTGTGCACCACATTTTATGTAAATATAAGTTTGTGTCTCGTATCTTTAAATTATTGTGGGATGACATATTGTGGAGCCTGTACATGAAACGTTTCTGGTGCGCTGTGAAGTCAAGTGTAAAAACAGAATTTTGTGGCATTAAGGTGGAAATTTACGACAACTGCACTTGAAAACCAGTGTTCGGTGCTTAACTTATTCCAAATCGTAAGTTTGTGCCTGTAATGATATGCAAATGTATAACTGGCAATATCTAGATTTGAACGAAAAAAGTATGTCATTACATTCCATGTGCATACTTTGTTTTTCTGTGTGGGCTATTGAGTGCAAATAGCAAAGGTCCTTAAGGAGTTGCTGATATATTTTTTAGTGGGTTTATATCGTGAATTATTTATTATGTTCAGTTTTGCATTTGTTTATGTCCTTCCTGCTGGCTGCATTTAGTACTCATTTTTATACCGCTTTGGAAAAAAACAAAAAAACAAAAATGTCCTTTGTATCGTTTCTTGTGCTGTTCAATTGTTCTTAAGAGTATCGAGGTTGAGATAAAGTTTGTCTGAAAAAGGGCAATTCTCCGAATTCGGAAATGTTCTATATAAAAATATAAAACACAACTTCATGCTTTTAAAAGTATACGCTCTCACTTAGCTGCAAATCATTTTCTTCGAAAACCAAAGAAGTTGATTTTGTTCCCATTGTATAGAACAGCTATCAAATAAGTTGTTTGTTGAACATTCGAATATCAAAAGTTCAAATCTAGCGTAGGAATAAGTTATGATGATAAGCTAAAATGTTATTGATTCCTGAATTATTTCTCTCTTAAACAGTACTGTATGGAGTACTAACATGACATTCGGTATGTTGCGTAAATATCTGCAAGTATTTTAAGAGCTATATAAAAAAGAAGCGTTTTCTTTCTGGAAAGTAAAATAGCTGATGTAGTAATTTAATATTTTCGCCTGTACCTATTTATTAAAAAAACATGGGCCGAAACGAAAAAGTAGTTATGTTTCTGGAATTGGCATTGAAAGCAAAGAGTAAATGGATTGAAGAACCACATTATAATGTATTTGTAGATGTAGAAAGAATTTCATAAATGAATAAGCAGATTTTAATTCACTTATTTAACAGTCCGATTGTGAATTAATAAAAAGGAATATGCGAAGATTTCCATCTTGTCAGTTTTGTACAAAGTATTCGGTAATAAATATATTTGAATACAAACTATGTTTATGTTGCCGTTACTCATGTCTCTCCCCCCCCCCCAAACTCCCCCCCCCCCAATAAAAAAATAAAAAAAAAACATTGCGGATCACAATTGTGTTTTTTTTTTATTATTAAACAAGTGAAGACAACTGCACTTTTTTTAAAAACGAGTTGTAGTCTACCCATCCCCTTTTCCCGAGGATTCGTGAAAAACAGGTAACCTTCCTTTACAAACGTAATGCAAAGTTTCCCTTTCAGTCAAAATCAAACAAGTGGCTGTTTTCATCAGTTTTTAGAGCTCCTAGCCTACATAAAGCATGATTAACTGGCTGTGATTGTAACTTGATATAGCTACATGTGCAGTGGCGTAGCCAACCGGGGGGGGGGGGGGGGGGGGGGGGGGGGGGGGGGGACAGCTTGTCGCCCCCCCCCCCAGTCGCCCCCCCACTGAGATTTTGAGTTTCTAAAAAAATTATCATTGATCTACATGACGCCCCCCCCCCTGAAAAATTCCTGGCTACGCCACTGTACATGTGTAACAATGCTTTTTGTAAAATAACCACACACAATAGTGATATAATCAGGTTTTTCCAAGCCGCATATGAATACGTATCCCGTATGAACATCATTTCTGATGGTCCCTGCCTACAAGGCGAATATTTTGCCGATGACATTATATGCATTTTTTTGTTAATTCACCTACAGGTCCCGTCTGCATCTCAGCCCACCGTCATTTTGACGTGAGACGTAGATTGCCAATAGTGTGCCGGTAAACTAACCATACAGATCGGCAACTTCTCTGAACGTCTCCCGCATGCCAATGGGATACTGTAACTGTAAGGAAGGGCTAAGTTCTGAAATTATAGAGAAGACACAACTCAGCCGCTTCGCTTTTAAGACATTAAATATTGAATTGCACTGTACTTCCATTGCTTTCGATGGTCCTTACTATTTAAATTGTTTCAAATTATTATTTCAACAGACCAAAAATAAGGCCGTATCCCAAACGGGCTTACAGAGCTGCAGCTGCGGCCCCACGTATTTATTATCAACATAGATCTAGACGCTACAGACAAGATATTTGGATGCGGCCCAAGAATCGATTCCTAAAAGGTTATCTGCAAAATGTACTACACTTTTCCCGGTGCAGACCATAATCAAATCGCACCTGTGTCCAAACAACTTTGGTACGCAGTCACACAAAAGATATGGAGAGCGTCCAAGAATTCCTTAAGTTGTGCTGCGTTACCTGATTGGTGGGTATTTTGGGAAGTTCCGCAGGCGGGCGGTGATCAGGCTTTTGTTCGGTTGCAAAGAAAAGCAGTTCCAGTGTCTTGGAAGATTTTTTTAGTAGGAGCCCTCAAGTGCCTGCTGTATGCACCAGACCTCGGTTTAGTTTTTTTTATAGCATAAATTATACTTAGTGTACGAACATTCTTCGAGGACTCACCGTTGGGATAAAGTTGGCAGCGCGGAAGGATTTAGTTACGTTCTAAAGGAATTAGGTTACATGGCGATCTAGAAGTTACTGGCTGCTCTTTTGTGCTCGTATTTATATTGCACGAATTGAATGGAACCACAAGAGCGATTAGCCTACGTTACTAAATAAAACAACAGCTTGACTTTTGCTTGAAGTATTGTTTGGAATCGGTGTTGGGCCTCAACGACTTAGGATTATGTTGAGCCAAGAAACGACCAAGATCTCGACAGAGAGGCAGGTGAGTTCAAATATCACATTTACAGCAAGATTTTCGATGTTTTTGAAGAGTGCTTGCCGTACACATTTTCGGCACTGTCTCGTTGAAGCATGGAGAAAGGAAAATTCCTCCATGGTTGAATTTTCCGGCCTCTAAAGTTTTAGTCCTTGGATTGTTTTGATCGTTTTTAAAATGACTTCGGCAACAAGAAGTAATCCTCTTTTATTTAAACAGTTTGTTTTGGTTGAAAATGCAATTGTCTCATTGATTTTCCAGTTGATGCGATGCGTGTATGCGAATCATTGCAGTTTTGTGCATTCACGATGCACTCGCCGTGGCCGCCATTTTATTTTCGTGCTGCGTGTTGTCTTGTTCAATCGTTTTAATTTCGTCCCGTGTGTACGTTTGTGCTGTGCAAAACCAACGGCCTGAAATGCTGAATAGTCCTACTTCTTTCCAATAGTTGAGCTCTATCAAATCGTTCGAGTGCAATAATCTAGTTTGCGTACTGAATGTGCCGGGTATGTACATGGTTAATCGATGTTATACATGTAAATACTTGTTATAAATCAGTGTTCGCAATGTATTGGCTGCACTATAGAGTGCACTACCGAAAGTGGTTAGCCCCTTAAAGCCTTTTATATGCATTTTTAATTTTTCAATCTTTTAAATTCTGAGCCTGTTTTTGAAGGACATTATATAGTAATGAAGGTCCAATGAAAAGTATGGTTAGGGCACCGCGGATTGTAAATCTTGAGACTGAGAGAATGTTTAAATCAAGAGAAGATGTATGGCTATAGAATTGTGGCCTTGTGTCGTCGAGTTGAATGAAAGGGACAAATATACTGGTTCCTTTCGTGGCATTAAAGTTTGAAGTAAATGAAAGTCACTAGACACACATGTACATTTGTTATCAAACGCTTTGAGTGTAAACATCGTCAACCAACCAAGTTTTATTCCACCTTGGCCCATTAAATTGCCCATATGATCTGAAAATAGTATATTGCACATGTAGGGCTATGTTAATTTATATAATCCATAATATTTATTTGCTTAATTAATTACTTTAACATTCACACGTACACCCATGTGTGATAATGTAGAGTATCTTGTAACTTTGTTACTAGCGTTCAGGTGAAATCCCGGTTGTTGTTTTTTAAATACTTCTTGCGACTTCAAATAACGAGACAAAAAGTAGATTTTCATTAAAACCATTCATCTCCTTTGAAAGAAAAGTGGACTTTCGCTCTTTAAAGTTGACAGGCCAATAAAAAATCCCTAATATTCTATTTCAGTAAACATCTATGTATAATGGTAATTATATCAAAAACAGTCACAATAAATGGTTTACTTCTTTTAATGACCAATTATATACATTGAATTCTTTTTTCTTCCTTCTAAATACACTGCGCCGAAAATAGGGCAATAAATACTAATAGTTGCCATTCTATGTACAAACTTGATAGACAATGTTTCGGTTTCAAGAAACCCGACGACTATTTATCAATCAGTCCGAAATTGTCGTAAAATTATTTATAAAGTCCGCAGTCTCAAATCCTAGACCACAACAGACCGAAAACCTCCTGTTTCTTTATCTTTCCACAAGAGGGCGTGCTCTCGTTGAGTGTATGCCCGATGACGTGTCATCGAATGCCGTTCCTTCCTAATGTGAATAGTGATGCACTGTCAGAAACCCGGAGACTGACGTCACTCATCATGACGACATCGTTTCACCAAAACGGTTCCTCATCCACGGTTCGTGTTGCTATGGTGATAAAGGCATCTAGTAGTAGTAACCAGGGTGATTCTCTACGGGGTAGTCGTTGTAACCGTTGCACTGTAAGGGAAAAGATGCATAAAAAGAAAGAATAAGTTAATTATTTAAACCGGTAAATAGTTTAACTTGAAATCAATTAACCCTTCACTCTGTCATGAACTGCCTTGTTTTATCATTCACAGACAGTCAAAACGTCTTCCACTTCCCTTGCCATGCATCTGTATACAGGCTAGTAAAAAAAACCCAGTCAGATCACATTCATGTATGACTAATCAAATTCCATCAACAGACAAAAGAGGTAACTGGTAGGTACTGCTGGCATATCAATCACCGCCAGTCAAACCATGACAACATCGAATTAACAAGGGAATTTTTAACTGTTAAAAACAGTCGCTTGATTGCTGTTGACTGCCGTGATGGCGTAGCTGAATTTGCCAGCCAGGGAGGGAGGGAGATTTATGGTTCAAGGTGTTTAACAGGAGACCGTATTAATTTATCCTTTTGTCTTTGAAAATGTTCCCCGTGCGTGGATGAGCATCGTCGTTTTGCATTTATCCAACCTCTCAAAGGTTTGAGACACTGTTTATTTGAATTGCCGCTCATACAAACAGTTTTACATGAGAACACTTTGGATGTGCGACCGCGTGAACGTTTTTCGTGAAATTTATCAAAGACTATACATATCGATATTTGGACAACCTTAAGTTGCCAAGAAGGTGACCAAGAGGGGATTTCTCTCTCCCCCTTGTTATACACTGTCTATAAATCGAAGCATCGTTGACGACTCGATCAATTCTGCTTGTGAGTGGATTCCACGACCAGAAGTCCGTGCATTGTTGATTCGATCATAACGCCACTCCATGATTAGCCTCTCCTGTATCCAAAGCCGCAGCAATGTGTCCTCATTAGCTTTCATAGGGGGAATATGTCCTGTCAACCGGAAGCTATAGAAATATTGCCGGAAGTTGGGCTAGATGTTGGAGCGGAAGTAGATGAACCCTGGCTGAGTGTGTGTGCACCTGCAGTGAGTCGCGGCGGGCCTCGGTGACAATTGCCTCCCGCCAGCCACCCAGGATCTGCAACTCGGATCCAAATTGCTGGATGTTTCCTTGGGAACATAGTACAAACGATCGCTTTGGTCTTACGGTTCTTGCACTCTGTGTCCCATGCAGACCTTTATCGGAACTGCACCGTCTTATAAATTCGTCGTGATTTCTGGAGACAGTCAGTTCAGACACAAACATTTACCGCGTACGATTTGATGTCGAGGGGTACCGCCCAGTGTCCCTACACCCAGTACACACTCTGGACTACTGTTAATCTAACACAACCCCCTGATGGATATTTCAGAAGATTTCCTGAGATTCGCCGTGATGACCAACACAAAAGAGGGAGTCCCCTATCGCATATCTTCCTTCAAATGCACAAACAGGTTTTTTCTTCATGGACTGCTTCTTATTTTGTGGATTGCATTCGTTATATCGTATCGAACCTGGCTTCAGTGCCCGCTCTCGCCGGCAACATGTATGGAATGTACGTAGTGAATATGCGTTAAAATAAATGAAGAAACAGAACGAATCGGCTTTTTCAATACAACGCCAATCTCGACATAGACGAATTATGCCAAAGTTGGAAAGAATTGTAACGTTACACACGTGAATAACACTGCCCCCCCCCCAACAAAAAAAGTGTTGTAGTCGAGTACATTTCCATGAGTACTATTTCGAGTCAACACTACCCACAAAATGAAATCTACATTGGTGAAAATGTGAAATTGAAAATAGCAACGGTGCCTAAAGGTGCCTTTAAGATAAAACTTAAAGTTGCCAGGAAAAACTATAACACTTTGTGTCGAAAGTGTCTGAAGTTTGTTATAAGAATTATTTCAAATTAAAATATTCCTACTTGGACGGCCAAAAACCTGAGACCTGAATTTCTTTGGCCTAAGCCCCGTAATCACGGGGTTCTAAAATCGATAGAAAGCCCGGAGCGGCCAGGGATACTGCGATTGAGCGCGTCTCGTATAGATACGGACTCTCGAAATCACCTGCCCAAGTTCCGCCGTCAATATCTTGCTGGCTCCGGCGGTATTATTCCTCGGGAATGAGATGCATTTCCCTCCCCATTCTGTCTCTCTTGCGCTCTTCCCGTCTCTCTCTTTCCCATTGCAGTTTCTAGGCTTTTTTCTCTCTCTCTCTTGCAATGAGTTTCCTCTGAGAAATATTACAGGAATCGCCGGAGTAATTAATTCCAGCGCAGTCGCGCCTGACTGAGGGGTTCTAGGGGAGAAGAAATCACCTGCCTTTCCCGGCCGCGCCGGTAAGATCACCTGCCTCGCTCATCCGCTTTCGGATTTAATACACATCATCAAAACATGATTGATATTCATTAGTATCAGTTAGCACGTAATAATTTAGCCACTTAAGGAGTGGACAACCTCGATGTGTTGTTGCAAAGTGGAGTTTACAAGCAGAAATCACAATTGGTTTGTTTTTCCAATCAGTGATATTATGGTCGGGAAGTAAATGGCATTTTCGATCAAATCTGATCGTTAATTACATCAAGGGAATCTCTGATAGCCGTTCTGAGGACTGCGTCTGTCGTGATTATACATAGCGAAATCGGTTTTAAACTGCAGAGCCTCTGTGTGTTGCTAAAAATAATGCAAATTTGGACACCGGCTTTTTTTTAATTCAAATTTGGAAATCGTAACAATATTTTCATAGGGGGACACGTGTAGGGATTCTTGAATGAAAAGTGCTCTTCTTTAAAGTTACGTGACAATCCTGATTTTTCATTGAAATAACTTGCAAGTTCCAAATATATATACCCGCTTTCTTATTTTTACCTCATATTATAAAATAAAACAAGAAATGTAAAATGACAAACATATCTATGCAATTTACTAGAGAATGAAAAAAATGAGGGAAAATAATCACTCACCAATGTTGTGTAGTGTGTGAATTATTATGATTTTGTGCGTGTGATACACTTTTGTAAAGAATAATGTACATTCAAAACTTCAATTAAGAGACAGTTCTGGACATTTAGTCTTTTCAACAGTCAAAATGTAAGAATGTGAAGGAAAAATGACCACAATTTTTGATTATGTAGTCGAATATCATAAAATACCATTTCCAATTATACTGAAATTGTTCCAAGTCTGTTAAAATTGGATACGTCTTTACAAGTAAGTCGGTGGTCTGACATTAATTGACACGGGCTACAGTAAAATGCGACTTCG